TTAATATCTCCAGCACGTGGCTTTGCTTTAATATGGAACTCCGGGAACGGAGGAATCCTCGTCGTCCTCGCCCAGGATTCTTTATAATAACTTTCAAGTTTAACAACCCCTTCTCTTCGTTATTTTCGTCCTCCGCTCTTTCTGCGGTGTACGTGTGAGTGTGTATATAAACACGGAGTCGTCCCTTCTCTCTTTTTTTTTTCTTTGCTTCTCTCCTTTCATGCATGATACAATTCCAGTCTCTTCTTCTACTTCTGCATACACAATCTTCCTGTGTATTTTTTTTTGTTGTACTTGTCTCTGCCCGGTTCGTTCCGTCCTCCCAACTTTTCCCTGAGCGGTAAACTCGCAAATTTATATGCCATTTATGGAAATGGGACCGCGAATCCGGGCGTTCTCTTTATTAAGAAAAGGGACACACCTCGCTCATACACTTTACGTTTCCCATTGTTTGCGACAACTTTGACGTCGCGGATGAAGCGAAATATAAGGGGCGACCGAAAAACGGATAATATTATAGAAATACATCGCTTCATATCTTCAGATGATGCAATTTTGCAGTAGCGCCATCTGACGTATCTGCTCCGTAATTAATCACGAACCAATTAGATAACCGTAATTGCGTGCGTGCCTAATCAATCGATCCAATTAACAATCCAGATTGCGCGATGCCACCCATAATAATTAGGTAATAGTTGTTTCGGTCCCCGATCTTTGCAGGTACCTAATACCTACAATATTAAATTATAGAGAGCTTTGCAAACAGCTCTTTTTCCTTAACACCCTAAGTAGGTTATCTCCTAATACTATGATCGTTAAGCGTGAGTATTTAAGACTTCCTTCCAACCACTTTTTTTTTTCTCTCTCTCTTGCAATCTGCTAGGAGCAAACGTATTTACTTTGTTGCACTTGAACGGGTTTTCGCACAGGCGACTTGATTAGTCGCAAAGCGGAGTTTAGGCTGGGAAAAGGGCCACATGGGCGCATTGCAAACACGTTTTCTGAAGGGATTTCGAGCACACACACACATATTTGGCCTTCCTTTTTTTTTTCTTTGGCGTCCGTGCCAAAAACTGGTCTGGACATTCGCGCGAGAACTTCATATATCTTCACGGAGGAAAGTTTAAATTGGCTTTGTTATTTTCTACTTCATAAAGTAAATAAATTTGTAACGTTTAGTTGACTTGTTTTGCTTCGCTTTGCCATTTTTTCTCTCTTCTATACTTGTGTTCGTTCGCCTTCTTGTATTTCGGTCATGCTCAAGATAATCCCTTCAATTTTCCCGATGAGTTTGCTCGAAGGACTTCACTGGAAAATTCAATTTATCTATGGCCTAATTTTTCAAACACTTCTATTAGCTTCTCTGATCCCATTCGAACCTTAACCACAAGTGGTTCCATACTTTTGTCTATAATGAAAAATAAAGCAAATTTTACTCAATTCATTCAATAGATTCGAAACAGTTTATTTACAACTTGAAAAAAGAATTAAAAATAATTATTCAAATCTGTTACGCAACTAACATTACTCAATATATAAAAAAAAACTAGTTTTCGTAACAATTTTTTTTATTAATTACATCATTCTTCTAATATTGATATTTTTTTAAATACTTTAATTAAAAAAACAAAAAGAAGATTATTTCATGATTGATTTTCATATACAAGTAACTATTATAAATTATTTTATTTGTTTATTGGTCTTATTAATTAACCCGTTGCGGATAAATGGCGGATATATCCGCCCAACTATGAATCTTAGATCTTAACTGGACTCCGATTTAATAAATTTAGTTGTATTTTTTAATGATGAAGATCGAATCAAAATTCATTAAGTTTCATGCAAATTCTAAAATAAGGAAATGGTTTTCCGTAATACAATAATAATAATAATGCATAAAGCAATTCCAGATATTCCGTAACTTGATTTAAAACCGCCGCAGAAGTTGGGGGGGAAAGAAGTAATTTGCAACTTAATCACCCGGAAAGCCAACGGAATTCATTGGTCGCGATTCATTAGCATTCATAAAAGTGTCCCGATTCCTACTAGAAAACTTGTTGTTGTTCCTTTTCCTTACCCACAGCCGCCTCTTAATTGCATTTCTTTCCATTCCTCTCCCAACTGATTTTTTTTTATTCTGTTACTTCAACCGAGGGCGAGATTTAAGGACGAAAAGAAAAAATATTGCAGAAAAGGATATAAGTCTAAGTAAAAATTCTAAGGGTCTGCCCCGGATAATGATTATAAAGTGGGCCACTTTATGCGCTCTTAACGCCCTCTGCTTGGGCCGAGAAAAAGCGAACCCTCCCGAGACCCTTTGCGGTCCCAAAACCTCCTAGATTCGGTTGCGCAATTTTTAATTTATTAATCCCGCATTCGGATTACCATTAATTCTGTCTGTTTTTTTTGCTCATTTTTGTTGTTGTTCTATGTTTCAGGATCCACATGGCTCCGAGCGACGTTCTTAATGAATACGGCTGTAGTTCTCTCTTTAATTATACGGTAACAATGCAACTTGTCATCGTGGTAAATATTACTAAAATATTTTCGACTAACAATCACACATCCATGCAAACACACGTACATATACAACAAGGAATACAAGAAAAAAGTCACCCATTCACAAAAAAAAAACACAACACACACGGACAATGAAAGCATACAAATACACACACACACATACAGACACATATATATTAATAGACAACAACAGGAATACAGAAACATGAATAAAAATGTAATACTCCGACATGCAACATGTACATAATGATACACAGAGGAAGGAGCGAAAAGGGCTACGAACAATGGGTATAGAGACCCAGGGGACCGCTCCAGGAGCTCTCTTGAAATGGGAATAAAATACGCTACTACAACTGTTACTAATTAACTACTACGGATGAGGAGAAGAAAACGTGAAGAAGAAAAAAATAAATATATAATTATAAAGAAGTAAACAGAAAAAAATAAGTTAGAATTAACACGAGAGATTATTTTATACCTCATCAAATCAACAAAAGAAGAAAAAAATAAATAATTATAAATGTATATGTTCGACATGTAAGAATGATGGTTAACACTACAACGGACTAATAGTTTTTAAACAAAAAATTGAATAAATATATTTCTATTTATCAGTGTAGTTAAGGGATGACGAGTTTATTTCGGAAAGGGTATTTTGTGATATATATTAAATGGGAAATGGTTAAAAACGTGGAGGTGAAAAAATAATAAAGAAATGTGCGGATCGCGTGTGTAAATAAGATGGACTTAATAATCAGTGTGTATAAAAAAAAATAAATAAATATATTATATATATACAACAAGATAGAGTTAAATATATGTAAGATTCTATTGAAAGAGAGAGAGAGAAGGAAATTTCTATATATAGTTTGTGTATAGTGTATCCTATATATATGAAGAAAAATTGGCTTCGGATCTCTCCAAACAACCAAAAGGATCCAATCTGTTTTACTTTATTTTTTATTTGTATTGTTTTGTGTTTTGTTTTAAATGTAAATAATTCATTGAGTAGAGCGAAGAGGGCGACGTAAACGTAAATAATGTATGTATGCAATTTCTTAGAGAATTCGGTTTGTTTCGTTTTTTTGATTAACATTTATTTATTGAGGTTTGGTATTCTCATCTTGGTGTAATCACAATTAGCTTGATTGAATATATCAAGTCTCAAGGAATATTAAATATTTTTTTTGTTTGATTTTGTATGTTTACGCAGTGTCCCAATAAATATTCGATAATTCGCGTTAGAGGCGAATTCTTGGAATCATCCGTGTTGTAATAAATAATATGAATGAAAATATGTTGAATTGAAATAATAAACAAATATTAATAATGGGTAAAAACTTGTATCTTTATTATTAAATAAATAATGTTAAGTTTCTTTTAGAAAATTTAGTTAATATTTTTTTTTGTGTTTTATATATTTAGAATTTTTTTTAATTAGTCGAATTCAATAATTATTAATTACATTTACAAAAAAGTTATTAAAAATCATTTTTTAATTAATTGTTTTATAGATAAATTTAATCGAAAAAATATTAAATTTTGTTTGTAAATTTTCGAAATTTTTACTTATTTTTAGAAATAAATTTAAAGACAATGTTTGAATTATGAAAAATTCTTTATTTTTCTATATAAAATTAATTTTGATTCAAATTATTTAAAACTTCAATAAATTAAATATATGAACATAATTTCTTGTTTATTTTTTTGTAGAGAAAAATATAACAGAAAATACATTAAATATTTTATATTCCCATAGATATTTCGTTTTCTTTTTTAAATAATAAGAAAATTACGAGATTTCTGGTTTTTATTTAAATAAAAATTGATATAAAATAAATTCAAAAACAAATCTTAAACTATAAGCAAGAAATATCTACAAAAGATGTAAATTATTTAGAAAAGTTTAACAATTCCTTATTTAAATGAATCAATAATTTTGTTCTATTAAATAAACAATTCTTATACTATCATTGAAACGTAAATTATATTGAAAACTTTAAGAATTTGTTATTTTTTTTGTATTAAAAACAATTTATTTGATGTGATTTTTACATTTTTCTATATACAAAGTTTATAGTAACTACAAGTATTTAATCATAACAAATCAATTCAAAATATATATGAAATCTAAACAACAAAATATAATAAAAATGTATAGATAATTGTAGTTTTTAACAATACTTTTTATTATTTGTTTTTTATAGATTTGTTATATACAATTTACAATTAGTATACAATTCTTTTTCAGCAATAAGTTACAATTAGAAAGAAGAAATAATTGAATAAAAAAATGTAGTAAATGTAATTATGAAATCACATAAATTTTGCTGAAGATTCCAGAGAACTTTTCGGCCGGACGTGAAACGATGTAAGAAAAGTTTCGGAGCAAATGAGAGAAAAATACCCAGAAACCCATCAATACATTGCGGTTTCGTTCATTTTTCTTCTTCCTTCGTTTTGGGACCTCTTTACATGGGTACAGAAAAGTATGCTATAACACTCGTTCGACAAATCTTTCACAGACCAAAGTTTAAAACTATGCTCATTATACCATACCACAAAAAAAAGGAGAAGAAGCAGCAGTATAGGATAAAAGACCGTTCGGACATAAATTCAGTTTCGCCACGGAGACCATAAATTTGCGAATTGTACCACCACTAAAAGCACTCTCCTCCTTCTCCTTCTTGGCTCTGAAGATCCGGAGACTCCTTAACCCACTTCTCCTCGCTAATGCAATCGTCGCTAATATTTCTTACCAAATTGTAACTGATACTAAAAGCCAACCATTAGTGTCCGAAATTATTAATAGCAGCTTTATTTTATTCTTTAAAAAAAATATATATATAATAAAAACAGTTATCAACGCGTTAAATAAAAACGCTGACCATAAAAGCGTTTAGTTATAAAATGGAATTGCCGAGGTGCGAAAGTTATAAAAAAAAATAACAGTTTTTATTGTTGTTTGCAATTTAACATTCATTGCATTTAAAAATTGCGCACGCAATTGCACTCTAGATCCTGGACGTGAGTGCGAAAACGGTTGAGGATCGGATGAACCGAGGAAGGGTGGAACGATGCAAAACTGACGAAGGAAACTTTACGAGCCATTAAGCTAACTCGATGGTTTTTATATTTGTTTAGGACTCGGAAGAGTGAAAAAAACAAGGAACGGAACTCTGAGAACACGAAAAAAATAAATAAAATAAAAAAGGAGTTGTGCCGTTTGTTTAACGTCGGAATCGTAAAAGTTATAAACTTCGGAAACCCAAATTACGCCACCATAAACACACTTTTTTTTTTGTATTTAATGTTGTTCGGTTTAAACGGGCTTAACGCGAATGGAAGAGGAGGAGAAAAAGAAATATATATTGAGGCACAAATTCCGCCTGTTGTGTAATTAGCGGAAGATCAAATGGGAAAAAAAGCTGCCGGATCGAATGCTATTAGCTGCAATTATCCTGTTTACTAAAGTTTTTTAGGCTGATTTCTTTTTATTATGAGATTAAAAACAACTTTTTATTTAATGCTGAGACAAAGTTTATTAACTTTTCACAATTATATTCATGAAATTGAAAAAATTTAATAATCATATTTAAAGAAATATACAGTTTTGTAATTATGAAAGAATTAATTATATTTAATATAATTAAGAAATTACTCCAATTGACAAGAATTTATACTAATTATTGATAATAATATTTATAAGAAAAATTGTATAATCATAATATAAGAAAAAAATATGTTTTCTTTAAAATTTCATTACATAACACCTCACTCTATAAGTTCGTAGGATGACATGTAGATGACGGCTCTATCGATAAATCCATATGATATTTAGGAAGTACCAACCTTCAGTCGACGCTTGTCAAAATTTCATGGCAATCTGACGATTAGTTCACAAGTTACGGTGAATTTAGTGCCGCTACTTTTGTAATTTTCAAAAAAATGCAAAAACTTGAATTAAGGCAAGTATGTCAGGTGTATCAACAAATCATCAATTAAAACAATCATCAGACAAATTATATTTAAATTACTATAAGTAATGAAACTATTTTTTTTTTGCATCCATACTCTATGTGGGGTTTTTACAAATGTTAAGTGTACTAATTACAGCAATTGTTTTAGTACAATTTAAACAAAATGTATTTCTTCATTTCTATAAATACTCAAGAAAACTCAAAAGTTGCATTCATATTTATAAAAAAACGATTTTCACATCAACAGTAAAGAAATGGACATAAATTTGGACAAGTTATAAATATTATTCACAAAAATGCAATTTTTCAATTCTAAATATGACAAAATAATAATACTACATTACTCTTTTAAACACAAGTTTTAATACATTTACAAAAGAGAATTAAATATTTCATTTTTATTTTAAAGAAAGTTCCGCAAGAAAAAACTTTTTTCTGCACGCCATTCTCATCGTCGGGTTAAAAGTTTAACTGGAAGCTATGTAATGAATTTCAGTAAGAAAAAAAACTTTATGTTAACATTTGCACGAGAAATATAAAATGTTGAGCATAATATGAAAACTATTAATTATAAAAAAAATATATTTAAATTTTTATTTTACTTATAAAAATTATTTTTTGCAACAAAGTTTTTCTTATTATTATAAATTTGGAGTTTTGTTCATATGTTTTATATTAATTATGATTAATTTAGATTTTTATAATGAAATAAACACAAAAAAATAATTTCACGTAAACTTTGAGTTTTTCTGTAAAAACTATTAATTATGTGAGTTCTTTAGATATACTTACACTAAAATTGAAAAAAATATATCAATTTCCTTAATACGACCAAAAAAAATCGTTAATTAACTGAAACGAAGCAAAAAGTTAAAGCTAATTAATAATGCTTTAACTTGCTAAAATCGTGCTGATACTCAAAAGAAAGTTTTTCTGTAATTAACTTTGTGCTGAAGCGTAAATTAATTAAAGATTTTTTTTTGTAATTAGAATAATTAAAGTGCGAATAAAAAAAGTACGCGTGCAAATCAAAATAAATGTATACAAAATTGCAGTAAATTAAGCTTCAAATTAGTGAAATAAAATATGCACAATGTATCAAAATAAATATTAATTAGCGAAGA